GAGCATGTGTTTGTTGGCTCCACTTAAAAACGAAAGAGCGCCCTCACAGAGGAGAGCGAGCTGGAAAGACACTCGCGCGAAGAAATTCTTTTCGTTCGTTTCCTGGTGCGTCGTCAACGATTTTGATTGATTGATGGATCCAACAAACGACCCCGCTGATGGCTTTCGCTTCTTTACACTTTCGGTGCCGTCTCTCTCGATTCCTTTGAAATCGTCGTCTCTTTGCTCTGCTTGCGCTGCGCTGCGATGATAGTGCCAACCAGCACTAGGCCACCACCACCAAAGATCTCTCTTTCACTGTCGAAAGAATGAGCCACCAAAACCACCACCTATATATCCCCTTTCGGCAGTACCGATGCTCTACTAAAGTCCTGCAAGCTCTTTAGAGCAGTGGAACCCAACCTGGCCTACCTAGGAGGGCGAAACTCGGTAGTGATGATCGTCAAAATCGTCTCCTCCTCCTCCTCCTCCTCGCATGTTGCGTCGATTACTATTACTGCGATCGTTGCCATTCCTGAAACTACCCGAGTATCTTTGCGACTGCAAGTACGAGAGGATCGACCACACGCTGCGAACGAGTAACAATCCTATGAACATCATACTCCCCATGGAGCACACCACCTGCATTGGAACACAAAAACAAAGGAAAGCTTTAGCCAGACACACGCGCGCTGCTGTGTACCTAAGCTCGCTCACTTCGAGAAGCGCTTTTGCCACCCAGAACACCGTCAGCAACACCGCACCATTTACAAAAAACGATATCTGCCAGAGAAGAACGAGAACGAGATCATTGGAAATCGAATAAAGAGATCATCGCTCTTCTCGAGAGAACGAGAGGGAAAACAACTAGAAAGGGAGATACGAACCAAATCCGATGTGAAAATTGGTGGCAGCATTCCTCTCGCCGCCTTGGTAGCCCGCGAGGATAGTTTCCTGAGAATCGTGCGGACAAGCTGGACGAGAAGAACCATACTGTCGCCGTCCATAGAAAAATCTCTATCGTAGTCATCATCTTCGTAAAATTCGTGCTCCACCTAGTAAAAGACAAGCCATAGGTTTAAAATTCTCACATCACTGCTAGCCTAGAAGACAAGAACTCTAGGAAATTCTCAAGAAACAACCATACCTTGCGAGGCTTTGCTGGAGCGAGTTGAAATCTCCTGGATCCGCGAATGAAAATCATGACAATTCGCTCCCCAGGCCTAATCTTCTCCCCGATTCGGAGAGCGCGCTGGGAAAACGGCGCCGCCATCCAGAGCGATGGCACAGCCGACGCCAGCACGGGCAATCGAGAGGCGCCAACGCCATAGCTAGGGCTCATCGAGCCCAAACCGCGCATTCTCATGGCCCCCGCCACGTCATCCACATTATGTGGCAGTCCACGTGTGCTAGTTTGCCATGTCATGCATTTTATGATCGTCCAATTAACCCTTAAAACCCATAGCTAATAATTTTATAGGATAGAGTATGTTTGATGGTTGTACACAACCAGTGTTATTCCACTTTGGCCACTTTGGCGATCTCTACACCGTGGTCTCTCTCGCTTGGATCTCACTACCACTACTCTTCTCACACACCACTCCTTCCTTGTTCTTACAAGCTTCATCCTCCTCGCTCTCGATCTTCTTCGCCGCCACAGCCGCCGCCTCCTCGGCCCTCTGCGACCCCGTCAACCTCGCCAGGGTCACAAACGAAGTTCCTCCAAGAACATTGTTGGCGGCCCGGACCGCAAACACGGACGTCTTGAACACCGCCGGACTCATCACTCCCGCAGCAAAGTACTCCAATCCATTGAGCGCCTGGTACCTGAGATTGCTGCTCACTCCCATGTGTAGAGCCCAGGTCGCGGCATTGAGCAGCGTCGGCGGCGGCTTGTTCTGGAGCTGGAAGCTCGGATCGACTCTCTTCCTCGCGTCCAGCAGCACCTTGGACACGGCAGTGCCCACCAGCCCGGCCAGGAATCCAGCGCCAGCGAACGCCACGCCCTTGTACACCAGAGTTCCAAAGCGATCCAGGAGAGTGTACGCGCCCGGCTCGAACATATGTCCCGGAGGGCAGCTCGCGAAGACGCTTGGGAGGCGGGAGATGTCCGCTCCAGCCGAGGTTGGCGCTAGCATGTACATGAGCGTGAAGTTGAGGATGCTCCCCACCACCACCGTGGAGAAGACGAAGTCGAGCTCGCCCAGGCCAAAGTTTGGTCGCGAGGCCATGTCGCCAAGAACACACGCCCCCACTCCGATCACCTCCTCGGTCAGGACCTTGAAAGGGAACTGTGGATCGCTCCTCACTCGCGATCGCCACCCGCGAGCAAAAGCCTCCCACAATCCAAAGAGGAAGTTGCCGGAGGAAGAGGAAGAGGAGGGATCGTCGCCGCCGGGATCAGAGCTTCCACTCCATCCATTCTCGTCGCCGCCACCGCCGCCGCCGCCGCCGCCTCCTCCTCCTCTGCCGTTGCCCTTGTTTCCACCATCGCCGCCGCCGGCGTCCACCTGTGCCTCGCCTCCTCGATCGCCAATGCCCAGCTCCTCAAGGATCCCATTGAGCGCGCCCTCGATCTCGATGCCTGTGGTGGGGATCACGGTCGTCGTCCTGGATGTGAAGACTACTGGCGTCGATCGGCGATCCCTGGACCTAGGCACTGCGCTGCGGCTGCCCAGGATCAAATTCTGCTGCCTTGCGAACCTGTGAGACGCGGATCTGGCCGTGACGCCGCCGCCGCCGCCGCTGCTGCTGGTGAGCGCCGAATGCATGGCGACCGCCGCCGCCATGGCGAAGAACACTTTGCCCTGGCGCGCTCCTTGCCCTAAAATCCCAACGGTCGGACGTTCGAGTCGCGGGAATGTTCGTACTAGCAACGCAAATGCTATATACGTGCGATCATGCGCTTGGTGCTCCAGGAAGAACATTTATGCTCGCTCCTCGATTGCTTCCTCCTCGATCAGTCATCCAAAAGGGCTTCTTTGCTTTTGATCGACCGATCCATCGTCCATGGCAGAGATTGAGGATGGTTACGAGCAGCAGCAGCGTCGCATGAGAGTGCCAATGCTGACCACCTCCTCCGATCAGGCCGTCGCCACTGCCAAGCAAATCCAGGCTTTGGATTCTCCTCGCTCCAGGCTCACGATCGTCGCAAAGGTTGTATACATTCTCGCAAACTTCGAAAACATCATCCATGGTGATTGATCTTTTTGATCCAGGCACTGGCTGGCGAGGCACTTGGAACTTTTCTCCTCGTCTTCACCATCGCGGCTTTGACAGCAGTGAACGAGGGAACTCCCGGAGGAATTGGGCTGCTAAGCTTCGCAATGGCGGCCTCGTTCTGCGTCACGGTGATCATCCTCACCATCGGCCACACCTCGGGTGCTCACATCAACCCTTCCATCACCGTGGGATTCGCAGCCGCCGGGAGATTCCCATGGTCTCAAGTAAGCTTATAGTCGATCGAACACAAGAGCTTTGAGAGCTTTACCACTTTTTCCAGGTGCCCTTCTACATGGTTTCTCAGATCACTGGCTCCGTGCTGGCAATCCTGGCGGCGAAATGGGTCTACAGCTTCCCGGAGAGCGACTTTGCCGTGACCCAGCCTCGATCTGGGCCATGGCAATCGCTTGTTCTTGAGACCGCCATGTCCTTCGTTGTCATGTTCCTGGCGTGTATCCTCTCGAATAACACATCACAAGTGGTAACTTTCACTCGCAATTTGTTCCACACTAGTATACTATTGATGCTTTTCATCAGTCGGGCAACGCAGCTGCAATGGCTGTCCCAGCCGCGATCGGGCTGAGCGTTATGGTCGCTGGGTAAGGATGGAAAGATTAAAATGCTTTGATTGATTGATCGTTGTTTTATTAGGCCAATTTCTGGAGGATCACTCAACCCAGCTCGCTCTCTGGGACCGGCAATCGTTTCCAGAAACTTCAAAGCGATTTGGATCTACATTGCAGGGCCTTTCCTGGGATGTGTAACTGCAGGCATAGCTCACAGTCCAGTTTTGGAAGGCAAAGAAGATTCTCAAAATTCCATGTAATGCCCTTAGTGGGCATTTTACGTAAGGGCCGCTAAAAGCTAAGACTCGTTTCACACAAGCCTGTCTTTCAGTCGTTGGAGATGCTCCATCTCCTCCACAATGCAGTGCTGTCCCACTTTTCCAACATAATCCCATGCAAGCGCCGCTGTTGCCGGGGATTACCATGAACCACCTTCGTCACCTTTGAAGGTGGCAGCAAATAGTTCCTCCCTCGAGATCCTCGAATCCACCACCTTTCTCATTGCATCCCTCACATTCCCTCCATATCTCATGGCTTCTTCCACAAGGCCCTCTTCCTTGTCTAGCATCCTGTCCACCATGTTACTCCTCTTCCTCACACGCTCCACCATATCTTCGACCACCTCCTCCTCTCCCAGCCAAAACAACGTCTCGAAATTTGTCTCTTCCAATCCCACTCGAGGTCGCTTTGCATATATACATCTCGTTGTATATCTACTCCCAAGAACTCATCTCCGCCCTCTTGTCGAGCAGCAGCAGCGCCACCACCTCGTGATCTTGCAACTTCTCCATCTTGCCAAAATCTGCGAAGAGAAGCTCGGACGCAAGCACCACCTTTGTGTCGTGCTGGCCCAGGGACCCCAGCTCCATCACCAAGTCCACCACGTCTTCCACATACTGAGTTATAACTGTCGTTTGAGGGAGGAGGAACGAATGCGCGTGTGGATGCCGGGAAGGGGCCAAGATGTTATGTCCTCGAAGCTACCAGTAACGAAGTGGAAGGAAGGGGACTATCGAGGGAATGGGATCTCGATGCTGCTCGAGTTTTGCCTCGACACAAAGCTTGGCGACGAGGTCTCCCACATCCTGGGAAGAGTTCCCTGGGAGAAGCTTAGCGGCCGGGCTTTTGCCAAGCTGAGGCATCACTTTCCGGAGCGCAGCTAGGAGGTAGACAAGTTTTGGAAGAGGAACGAATGCTTTGCATTTCTTAAACGGTCATCACTGTAGAACGATCAGAATGTCTCGGACGACAATGAGGAGGAGGATCTCTTGTATGGCAGTGACAAAGAGAAGTATGTGGAAGACGTGGTGGAGTTTGTGATGGAGCTGGAGTCCCTGGCATAACGGTGGCGCTTGCATCCGAGCTTCTGTGCCAAGGTTAAGAGCTTGGAAAATCACGAGGTGGTGGCGCTGCTGCTGCTCGACAAGACCGAGCTCATACCCAGGGGTCCATGCTCCGAAGTAATCAAGACGATGCGAGGAGCTGCGAGCTTGGTTGGCTAGAAGGAGAAGGATAGATTGAGGAAGGCTTTTCGAGATCTCTGCAAGGCAGAGCTCCCGGACATGTCTGACAGTTCGGACATGAGTTCTCGGGGAGGAGATATACAACGAGATGCATATATGCAACGCGACCTCGCGTTGACTTGGAAGGACCAGGAGTTTGTTTTGGCTAGGAGCGGAGGTGCTCGGAGCTATGGTAGAGTGTGTGAGCAAGAAGAGTAACTTGGTGAAGAAGATGCTGGACAAGGACGAGGGTCTTGTGGAAGAAGCCATGAGATATGGAGGGAA